AGACTGGTAATGAGGGGGTAATAATTAGGTGTGCAAAACAAGAGTTTGGGGGACATAATTTAGCTAAAGTAAAAGACCTACTGAGAAAGGGGGGAAAATGAAGACAAAAAGGAAATGAAGAGCTAGCTTCAGGCATACAAATATAGATCAACCAAATCCTGGAACATATATTTGGGTGAAGTAATGGTGAGGAATACTTTTTAAGGATGTTGGGGATCTTTTTTTTTTAAATGAGATGATTTTATGACAGTCTACATATGCTAAGATGTTAAGATATTTGGATTAGTGTACTATAAGTTTCTCCTCACTATCTGCCAGCAAGAAATTTTATAAACACTTTCTCTGAAATATGTCTACCACAAGATTTTTTCTTACCCCCTAAAATACACTTTAGGAAACTTTGTTATTTTTTCCTTAAATTGAGAAAAAGTTGCAAAGTGGTAGTTCTGTATGTGTACCAAAATGATACAAAACAAAAATGATGCAAAAAATAAAACTTTCACAGAAAATAGCATCATAAAAGTTGAGAAGAAAGAAAAGAAAGAAATGGATACCAGAGAAACTATGTTCTTTGCAGTTGCTAGCATCCTTTCTTTGAGGAATTTAAAGTTAAATGTCCTTAACCTGTTTTAAAAATTTTTTATGATAGTTTCATGGAACAAATCTTTCAGACTTGTTACAAAGAGCTTTAAAAAGCAACACTAAAAACTTAAATTTTAAACCAACATTATCTTCCACAAAGAATATTTTAAGGCTTCTAAGACAGAAATCAAAGGAAATTGAGGAACATTAATAAACTAAAAATGCTGAGAGCTTTTAAACCCCTGGGGATTCATTTGCTTCATAGCAGTGTGCTTTTTCAACATTTAAATTTTATATGCTTTTGCTAATGAAAATAATTTGCTACAGCAGAAAGGAATGAAGATGTCAGCTCAAGTATGACATATTTATCAATATAATGGAAAGGTATGTTCTGAAGATCCTTGATGGATTCCAGGGGAAAAAATAGTGTACCACTGTTTGGGAAGTTGAATTCAATCAGTAGAATATAGTTCCAAGAACACATATTTCAAATATCAAGGAATTCAAAAAACTGAACTTGGACTCCACAGATAATTTGTGGACAAATGAATTTTTTAATAAAATATCACATTAAAATGCATTGATTTATATAAATTGAGGGAATGTAAGAATTCAAATTGTTCATGGAAAGGAAACTGGACAAATGATCAGATACAAGTCAATTTAGAGAGAGTAAACAAATGTTCACAATCCCAAAATGAAAAGTATTAGGATTCAATGTGAACTATAAGCTACAAATCATTACAACATAAAGTTGTTTTAAAATGAAATAGGAGTGATACAAGCATACCTGATTTTACAGCATATTTTAATTTGGCTGCTGGACAAAATTTTGCCCAAGTAAACAAATTCCTAGTCACTCCAATTACAAAATTGGGATTATGCGCCTAAAAATAATTAAGCCAATACTTAACATCACAACCGATAAGACAGCAAGTCATTGAAGCATCTATTTAGAGAAAAAAAACAGTTGAAATAAAAACTATTACTGCAAATAAGTCACCCACATACACAAGTTTACTTTTTATTTTAACATTAATAGTGTTGGAACATAATAAATCTAAATTTTCTCTGAGGATATTTCTCCAGCATCTCAATATTCTAACATTGACCTGTTAGCTATAATATCTCTTTATATTTCACCAAAGTTACTCTCCTTTTTATGTATTTTGTCTGGAAAATTGGGGTCAGGGACTAGATGGAAATACAGGGCAAAGCAAAGAATATATATATAACAATACACCAGATGTAACAATAAGACAGAAGTAAATAGGCAAGTGGGAAGTAAGTATCCTTTAATAGATAGGAACACCTACAGGGAAAGACTATTCTGCTTATTAGTATTTATATAATTCAACAGTAATGAATTTTCATATAACCAATTCTGGACTTTTAAAAAAGTAATGATATGTTTAAGCAACCCTCCTAACTATGCTTAGTTAAGGTGTTAAAAAATAGTTATGAGACAAATGAAGTAGCTAACGTTTGGAACAACTTCATAAGAAAGCAATGAAAATGACTTAAGCCTCATGGGGGAAAAAACCCAAAGAACTTAAATTATTTTTACCTGATAACACTCTGAAAGTGTTATGCCTGGAGTCCAAGTATTGAATATGTTAAGAGATAAATGTCCATGTCGTCCAAAAAAAGAAGAGATATTAACTATGGCTTACAAAATTCAAATTACTCATTAAACTATCTGTGGACCATAAGCACTGGAATTTGTTTAAGTAAAGTTTCAAGCACCTGGATTACTTTTTCAGAAGGCTTAAGAAGATAAACAACAATCTTTCTGGGTTGGATTTGATCAAATTTGTTAGAACTCTAGGAATTAAGGACTACATAAATAAAGTTATTTTCAAAAATCTATGCAAATCTTAAAATCTCATTGGGCCTAGGTTAAGAAATAAACTTTCTTTTATCAAAGGGCAGAATGAATCTGGGCACTGGTTAGAACATTTTAGATCCATTTATTTATCACTAAGAGTACTATGATCTATCACAGAGTTAAAGAAAAAAATAACTGTGCCATGAATTAGTATTCAGTAATTATAATGAAATTAACATCATTTTGGAATGCAACATTGATTTGTAACATTGTTTAGCAACACTCTTGCCAAGAGAACTTCTTTGAGTCAGTGATCTCTCTGACTTAACTGAGAGACAGAAATACATGACTATTTCCATCATTCCATTTTCTATCAGTATTATAACTAATAATTGATCTAACATGGGAGTGTCAACACAGAATAATAAGGCAGAGCAATATAAATCTTTAAATGTATCACAAATAATATCTCTTTTATGTGATTAAGTACCATATCCCTCAGCATGTTCTCTTAAAATAAAATGTCTGGTAAATTTATCTGGTTATGTTCAGTATTTTATTATATGTTCTATAAGTCTCAATCAAGCCATGAAGGCATTTTCACATATTTAAATATACTTTTCATAGAGTACAATTCAAATAGTTACGCAAAGAGAGTTGTTTTGTGTTTCTGAGTCTTTGCTTGTACAAAAGGAATGTAACTTCTCATTATAGGTTACCTGTGATTTTAATGCTCACCTTTCTTCCTAGTTTTATAATGTGTCACACACAACAATTTACCCCTATTTTAAGTTTATAGAATACTACAAGGATTTTTTTTTTTCCAAGCAAACCCACTACACTACCATCAGTGCAAAGAAATGAAACTGGAATGACAGTTTACTCAGATATAATAAGTCTATTCACATCATAATGTAATTAAAGGTCTCTTTTCACTTGAATATTCAGTTCTGGAATCCCCATCATGCTGAATCCTAAAGTATAAGTTGAGAAATTTTGAAAAATAGCTTAAAATAGTTCATAGTTGTTATTTGTATATATTTCCCTTTTTTTCTATTTTGGTATTAACTGTAATGTAATGGTAATTTAATAAACTATTTATAAAAAAGAAAAGTTATTGTACTCATATTTAAATGGAATTTAAAAATTATTCCCTTAATTTTTTGTATTCTTGTACTTAAAAAGTGAACTTTAAGATGATCTTTAAAAATTGAGTGTCTTCTGTCACTTACCAACAGGGCTGTATCATCAGGTTTCTAGTCGCTTCTTTAAAAGTTAGTAATTTAATCACAATTAAACATTTCTCTCACTTAGTTTTAGATAACAATGAAGCAGTGGGTTTCTTAAAGAAGTACTGAAGTAAGCAACTACTGAACATGAGTCTAGTCTAGAAATAAAAATGGAAGGAAGGCAGAAAAGGGGAGAGGGAGAAGGAAAGAAGGAACGAGCAAGGGAATGACTTTAAAAGCTTTAAAGCTGAAAATGATATTTTACGAACCTAGTGATCACAGTGTACATAACTTCATACCCACTTTATTAATACATACACAAATAAGTCAAAATTGTAAATAACTGTTTAGCAGTATTAAACAAACACTACATTTTAAAATTCCAGGACACTGAGAATGTTCCCATCCATAACTCACAGTGACAGAAGAGATAAACAGGACTTTTGACAACATAAAACGTTTCCTGAGGTATGCCATAATGCAAAATTGAAGATGAAAATACCTCAAAGCTCATCTCTGTTTAGTGTTGACCTCTAGCATAGAAGCTATTAAACACACCCCTTCCGTCTCCACTGAAGCCTAAACAAACTGTTTGAATTACGAGAGTGTGCAAAGATGTGCCTTCCAGGCAAACTTTTGTTTTCCAAGAGTAGATCTCCCAAATACTTCCAGCTGGAAAACGTCCACTTGAGCTACTTGAGACTAGAGCTTCACTTTTTCACCTTGGCTTACCTGCTACTACTTAATTATTCTTCTAAGCAGGCTCCGGGCAAGTTGGGGAGGTGGCTTTTTCAGCACTTCTGAATCCATGATGAATAGAAATACACACACCTAACACACTCCCACAGGTCTTCCACGCCCTTTCTCCTTCCCGCCCTTCTCAGCACTCGCGTCGTGAAAGCCTGGCCACCTGGGAGCAAACAGTACTCGAGGAACAATCCTCAAGATCAAGAAACTGACTGGATTTCAACATGTGGTGAGAGAAAATGGGAGGGGGTGTGTGTGTGGCGGGAGGGATAGGAGCACTACAGACAGCAGCTGTCCATTAAGTGGTTTAAATCTGTTGGTTAAAAAGCTGAATAAACAAATACACAGATGGGTCTAGCTCCTTGGGGATTCTGGAATTTGAGGAGCCTCCCAAGCGGTATCCAGTTCTGCCTCTCTCGCCCTGTCCCCGTGCAAAATGCGCGCGAGCTCCACTCTCAAATGCTCCAGACTCGCACATGCCTTTCCCTCCCGTTGTTCCTAATTAGTTCACCCGCGCGCCAGGTGCTCTGAGAGACTCACCTAAGAGATTCCAGAGTCTGAGGACAGGAGGGCAACTTTTCCTCCCTGCTCTAGACCTACCCGAAACCCACGGCATGGGACAGGTCCCCGCAGACGCTAGCCCCCAGGTCAGGATGTCGGGGCGCCTTCTGGCCGGCGGGGCGGGGAGAGGCGTGCGGGAGACACCCGGCGCGGCCACACAGTGGGTCCGGCCCGCGCCGCCGCCGCACGTGCGCCGCCGCGAGCGCGAAGGGGCGTCGGGCCCCGCGCTCCTCGCGGTCAAAGTCAACCCAGCGCATCAGCCTGCCCTCCGCTCGTCCGGGGCCTCCGCGGACTTACAGGTAAAAGTCAACCGAGAAGCCCTCCTTTTCTCCGAAAGGTATCTGCGCCCATCCCTCGTCCCCTCCCTGAAGAACCCGGAGGCGCGATTTCATCCCAAACCCACCCTCGGAGTAGGGAGACCTCGCCAAAGCGGAATACAAGTAAGACCAGGACATATCCCGGGTGAAGCGGGTCCTGCTAACCGTGGACAGGGGAAAGAGCGCGAGCGGGGGCAGCAGTCGAGATGCACGATCATCCCCAAGTGTCACTAGGGGCCAGGAGTTTCTTCACTGGAGAAGCAGGAGTGTCCCTTCGCCACCTCCATTCCCCAAGAAATACTTGTGAAATGCACGCTGAAGTGTCTAACTTAGAGACGAGAAGCGTGCACTTGCCCAACTGAGTAAATAAAGGTCAGCAGTTGGACAATAAAGTATGTGCTTCCAAACGCCAGATGTTTTTACTGTTGTTTCTCCTCCTCGGGGGTGGGAGGGGGGAGAAGAGGGAAGAGACAACACACAATAAAAATAAAAGTAAACAAACACATCTGCTGTTTCCACACACATTTTCCTCCAGCCGCGGTCTGGAGTGTCTGTTGCCGGACAAGGCAACATTTTTCGAATACAAACTAAAAATCATCCGTGAGCCAAAGGCAGCCTCCCTTCTCTCGACGCCCCCTTCCCCTCAGCACAAAGCTACATGAAAAAGAACAACAAGTGGTGATGTTAGGTCCGGAACGCAACCCCGATGCCGAGTCGAAATTTGACACATGTCACACCCGCCCAACCGCGCGGAGCTCAGCGACTGGGGCGAAACTTTGCTGCCGCCGCCCCGGGAGCAGCGCGGAGCAGAGTAAAGTCGCAGCCCGGCCCGGCGTAGAGGTGGCGGGGACGGCGTGAGGGGCGGAGGTGCCGCGCGCCAGAGTGAGGGTGAAGAAACTTACCGCGACCGGGGACGCTGGGCAGCGTCCCGGGAGGTGGCACCCGCGGCGCCGAGGCAGAAGCCCACAAACAACACACCCACGCGCGAGTCCCGGCAACTGCTGCCGCGAGTCGGGGCGCGCCCGGGAGGGGGGGCTGGAGGAAGCCGCAGCTGGCGGACGCGGCCGCCGCATAAATAACCCGGACCGGCGCTCACGGGCTGGCTGCGCGGGGTTGGAGCCGGGGCGCAGCGGCCGCCGCAGAGCTGCACGCGCCGGCGTGTCTCGCGCTTTCTCGGAGGCTCGCGCTGTCTCGCGCTGCCGCTCCCCCCACCCGGATCTGTATGTGTGTGTGTGTGTGTCTGTATGTGTGTGTGTCTCTATGTGTGTGAGTGTGCGCTGGCGGGCGCGCGCACCCGGCCGCGCGCGCGTGTTGTTGGCAATGCAAACTGTACACACACGGCGCACGGAGCCGCCTCTTCTCGGCGGGGCGGGGTGGGGGAAGGGACGCCTCCGAGGATTCTAAAGTACTGCTGGGCCAACTTGTTTGTTTCTGTTTTACTTTGCCTTGTTATTGTTGACTGTTGTTGTTGATCCCCAAAGTGATTTGGAACCAGCTGGCTAGGATGCCCGTCACCCCAGCCACCTATCTCCCCGCGTTCCCCCAACTTCTTTAAGGGAGGGGGAAGCGCGGCGCAGATGTTGTTCGGCTTTGCAGTGGAGCCTCCTGGCTGACGTCAGGTCCACCTGCTCTGTAAACAACTCGCTGGAGAACTTGTTTGTTCGGCGCCAGATCTTCCCCCACCCCCACCCTTCTCCCCACCTCCTGCTCCGCCCCCTCTCGCTCGGCCCAGACGGCGAGTCGAGGAAGGGGGTGGGGAGGGAGGAGAGAACAAAACCTTATGCTGTATTGGCAAAGCCGAGTTGTGTCTGCTGCTTCTTGGCAGTCCCCAAAGTACGTCCTCTCAGCAGACGGAGCTGCTGGCAGATGAAACAGGGAATTCCAAGTGAAGTGCAGGAAGCCTCGAAGGGATCCAAAGCCCTCGGTGGCAAGGAGTTAAAGTACTCAGAGTCAGAAAGGGAGACCCAAGCGTGCGTTAAAACGCTGACTGGCCTTTCTTTTCACGGTCTGCGCCTCTGCGGCCTGGGGTGGAGAGGCCGAGAGTCTTTCTCACTGCTCATTGTTGTCGGGCTCCTGTCTCACTTGGACCCGGGACTTCTCGGGCTTCCTCGTGGTCCCCCGGCCCTGGTCACCGGCTCGGCGCCGGGCTGCGGGCCGGCCGGGGCGGAGCTTAGAAGGAAGGGGTTGCCGAGCTGAGACTTTGGGGGTCTGAGGCTCTCGAGACGGGCCTGTGAGTGACTGAGGGGAGCAAAGTAACCGGAATGAAAGGAAAGAAGAAACTGCCAGAACTGCCGCTCGCACTTCAAAGCCGAGACGCCGGCGTGGAGAGTGCGCGGGCCCAGCGCCCGAGTTCCCGCTCTCGTCCGTGGGGTGTGCCTCGGCCAGGTCCCACGCGGGACCGAGGGGAGGACGGGACGGGCCCGGATGGGACGCGTGGCCCGAGTGGGGGTGGGGGCAGTTCAGGAGCGCGTATTCCCCCGCGGCTCCCGGCAGGCCGTTCATCCCGCGGCTGCCGCCAGCCCCTCCCCTGGCCGCCGGCCGCGCGACCCTCCACCCCGCCGCGTCCTCTGCGCGCCGCGGCGGAACCGGCCGCTCTGCCCGCACTTCAGTCGCGAAGCGCGGCGTTCCGAAAGGCGCGGAAACTTTCCTCCAAATTGCTGCAGCCGAGAGGCCGTGGCGCACAGACCCTGGCCCCGGGCTTTGCCCGCCAACACCCCCGGTGGAAGAAGAGAGGAGGGGGTGACTGAGGAGACGGACGAGCAGCACCAGCTTCTTCTGCCTTTGAGTCTTTTCCTCAAAGAGCAGCGCTCTGCCTTTTTCTAAAGGGCAGACGTGAACTCACACACACACACACACATACACACACACACACGGCATAACTCTTCCCTCCAGAACCTGCAGTTCTCCCGTGGAGGAAGCAGCCCTGGCACCCACAACTATAAACACACCGTCAGATTTTCTAGTGAAACCAATTAAGTCAATAAGCCACGGGGCTGGTCCTGCGAAGACGGCCCCTGCCAGGGGCACAAGCAAAGAGGTAGAGTTGGTCTTTGAATCGCGGTGCTTTCTGTGAGCTTTCAAAACTCCAGGCAGTCCTCAAGTGCTCTGCTTGTGGACTGTGTCCTCGCTATTATTTAAATTGTCTTTTTTCGAAGTGCAAGCTGAATAGTGGGCCAATAAACCGAAATTTTTCAAGATGGGAGCAAGGAGGGAAGGAGGGAACAGTCATTTAAATTAGAAAACGCCAGATGCAAATGATCCCACCTCGCCTTCTGAAGGAGATCATTTTACGTTAAGTAACTTGCGTTTATACTTCACTAGCAACCCTAAATAAAAGGCCAGTTTTCTGAATTAACCTGAGAACATTTTGGAAAAGACCAGAACAAACGGCGTCGAAATCCTTGGAGATCTGAGGATGTATCTTTCCACTGGGTTTGTGAATAAAGGTATCAAAACATTCAGAAGGTCTGCAGCTCCTCACCCTTTTTTTTTTCCTCCCCCCTCCCCCCCATACACCGACCCCAGTTACTTTTCTTTCCCTCTAGGGGTCCGACGGAGGAAGTGAACGGGAAAGGCTTATTATAAATGAGTCTGGGCAACTTGGAAGAGAAGTTCAAGTTCCCAACAAGGAGGAAAGAGGGGGGGTTATGCTCTCGAGACTTGAGAAAGGAGCGGATTTAGTTAGCCTTTCGCTCTGTGCACAAAGACACATTTTGGTGAAATTCAGTCACTGACGTTTCTTTCCTGTGAATACAAACAGCCAGGCGCCAAGAGGTGCAAATGGATAACCGAGTTGGAGGAACATATCTTTCTCCACTGGCCGAGTGCTCTGCCTGCATCTTCCTAAGCGGAGCTGAGCCTGCAGCCCCCTTAGACGCCCTGTTTAACTTCGCCCCCTTTATCTGTGTCCTCTTCGCCTGCTGTCATTCCCGGCCACCCACCCTTCGCGCAGAGAAGTCGCCCCGGGAGTTGAGAACGCAGATTCTGCCTGGAGCCCTGCCTTCTGCGGACCCCTCACCCGCAGCCAGTGGGCTGGGCCGGGGTTCGAGAGGTGAAAGTTCAGGCCCGGGGCTTAAGGCTCGCTCCCCCTCTACCGTAGCCTCCCTCCCAGCCTGGTCCCCCGTCCACACTGCAGACCCAGCCCGGCTAACAGGGACTGCCATGGTGGCACGTAGTTTGTTGATGGGTGGTCATAAAATATATTTATTTGCAATTCCTTTCCCTCGCCCACCTCCCCCGCCCCGACATGGCCCCGAACACTGCAGGCTTTGTTCGCCTCGCTGCTGCTGGAGCCGGCTGGGGTTTAGCGCTCTGTGCTAACACACTCCAAAAAAGTTGAAGTATAATAATAGGAAAACCGGGTTTCCGCAGCCTAGGGAAACGCAGAAAGGGCAAACAGCGAACGAATGGTTTTCTTTTGCACAAGTCACTGGTCAGCCCACTGGATCACGGCAGCCTTGAAACGAAACTCTGCATGTCAGAGAGAGAGGGGAAGCGAAACTCTGTCCCTGTAGTCGCTGCGCAGGGTCGCAGCCACAGCTCAAGTGTCCTTTGCAGCACGTGGGTCTGCAAAAGTCATTTAAAGAGGTTCCAGGGGAAAGTTAAACGGAGCTACTGGGTAATTGAGGAGTTTCACCAAGTGGCCCTCGAAGTTCTCTCACGAAAATTTATTTGATTTCAAGTTTATTTTACGATGGAACCGCAAATCAACAAATTCCGAGACACTGCTCTATTACGGTAAAGGCGAAAGATAAATTCGTTCGAAATGGTCCCTGCCAGCGCATCTTGAGTGAAATAAACCATCCCAAATGTGACTGACTGAAGCCAGGATGAAAGAAAACAACTTGCGAGTGACAAGTATTAGAAACGTTGGTTAATGCTTCTCCGAGTAAACTGTTTGGAATTTTAGTTATTATTTGTTATAAACATATAATTATTCACACACTCAGGTCTGTAATTTCCAAAAGTTTCAGTTTAACAACAATGACAATTTTTCTTCTTCAGAGTCGTTTAATTGGTATAATTGTGACTAATACCTAAAAATGTTACTGACTTGGAGAGAGACGGGCAGAGACGTAAGAGGCAGGGTTTTTTAAATCACCTTTTTTTTTCCCCCCTGTTAGAAATACCATCTTCAAAGTTGTATTACTTCAAATAGATTGTAACAAAAGTCTTCTTTAAATGCAAAGTAAAGCATTTTTCTTTTCACATAGAAAATCGGGCACTATCAGGTTCCTATTTTTCACATCCATTACAGTTTTCAGAAGATGAGCAAGTAAACAGACTCCTTTTGGACATTCCCCTATACTCAATCTCCTCCCAGACACATTTTAGGAAAAAGAGAACATTCTAGTTTCACCGAAGTCAAATCAAGGGTAATTTGTGTTACAACATTAAATTGAATGTAGAGGTTGCAAAATTGGTGGAGTTACACCACCATCTGTCGTTAAGCTTTGGGACTACAAAATTTGGGACCTATAATAAATCTTAATGAGCTTTCCCAACTTTTTAAAATCACAGGCTGTAATTTTCATTTGTATTTTATAACACATATCCTGGAATTACGTGGGTCCCGAGTGAGCACACGTGTTCATAAGTCCTTGCCTCTACCTGAGTTCTCCAGTCATCTCATCTTCAGAAAAACAAGCAAAAGCCAACACCAAAACCCTTCATCTGCCAACCTCCAGAAAAAAGCTTTTTCACATCATCTTTGGGACTGCAGATTTTCATCACCTCTCCCAAGTTTCTTGTTTCTAACATGCTATTGATAGGAAAAATAGAGCCTAAACTGCAGGGTCTACCCTTGTCCTGGAGTGAATAATAGACCCTTGATTCTGTCTGGTAATATATTTAATCTTGAAACATGTAAATATAGCATATCTCTGCTAAGAGGTTGACTGTGAGTGTCTTTAAAAATTGACTGAAAGGCAGTTAATATCAGGTTCCAGTTCTGGTTGACCTCTCTGTGGAGACAACGATCAATTGCTCTGGGCTAGATTCTTACCAAGGAAGCCTTTATCCAAATGAATACAGAAAGTGGACAATTCCTGGATAAAGAATTCCTGTGCTGACTCAAAAGCTTCCATTAAACAATGGAAACTCTTCCCCACAACACTCCAGAGGCACATGTGTATATCAGATCTATTTTTTAAAGGATCTCCAAGTATCTCAGTGTCTATACTGTTGCATCCCTTTCCATATTAGGACCCTGATTATCAAATTTCTATTTTCCAGAAAATAATTTTTTAATGTAACAATTTATTTATATTGGTAAGACAATCACTAGAAATAGTAGTATGAAGCTGAATCATACTAAATTGTTTATATTTGACCAAATTTGACTCACAAAAAATCAACATTTTCATATGCTTAAATTAATAGAACCCAGATTTTTCTGAGACATATTCTGTCTCTATAAGAGTAAGCATTAGTTAATTTTCCCAATTCCTGATATTTGCCCCATCCGTGACATTTTCTTGCTACACTGATTCAAATATGTTGAACTGCCTCGTGCAAGAGACCTTTGTTTGTTGATATTTCTACAATTAAATTATTCTTAGAGTTTGTATGTCTCTTAGTTGCTGTGAAATTTTAGAGCTGAAGGAAACTTCAGGATACTCCAGTCCAGTCCCTTCATTTTAAAAATCATATAGCAAAGGTTCAGAGATGACAGAAAGATAAAACTAGTTGATAAAATGCTTATTATTAAACTATTTCATGTTTCTAAGCATACAATGACCCTCCTTTCTTATTCCACAGAAGACATTTTTTTTGCCATACACCCTCACCTTTTCAAGTTTTCTTTATATCCATCAAAACTGATATGGCTCAATGATAACTTTCTTTGGATATCAGTAGAGTATTGCAGATGGTAAGGTATCATGTCACATCCACTGTAATACACAGGAGAAAAAAAGTCTGATGATTTGTTTCTCTTAAGAGTCAACTAGAGTTTAGAAGACCTCTTCAACCGTGTAAAGAGGTTCATCACTGTTGATTGCAAGAGTTCATCATAGAAAAACTGATGGTAAGAGGTGCTAACATAAACCACAGTTTATAATGTTTTTCAGGGTTAAAAATCTTCAGGAACTCCTGGGCCCTGGGGCAAGGTGGGGACTCCTGGGGGCTCTCACTACACTCTCAAGAAATAAAGGCTATGAGGCAAAATATACCCTTGATTTTTTTAAGCTATAAGCAAAAAGAACAATATCAAAATCCTGTATCAGTGTAGATTTTTATTTAGTTTAATAACTATGTTGTTATTATTTAGTCACTCAGTCATGTCCCACTCTTTTGCAACCCCGTGGACTGCCTGCCAGGCCCTTCTGTCCATGGAATTTCCCAGACAAGAATACTAGGTAGGTTGCCATTTCCATCTCCAGGAATCTTCCCAACCCAGGGCTTGCCTTGGCAGGTAGAATTTTTACCACAGAACTACCAGGGAAGCCCTTGATATTAACAACTATATGGCTCCAATAACCACTGAGTTTACCCAAACAATG